CCCCTGGCGCCGCTACTGAACTTGCACAAGATGAGATTTGTTGTAGACTGCATGACTTTGTTCTCACAGAGGTCTGGTGGTCCATTGTAACTACAGGTGGAAACTTAAACTAGACTCCATTGATTTATATTATATATAGAAACAAACATAAATCTTCACCTCTTCTATATTACCAGGGGTTGCGTATACGGCTCAGTCCCGTTGATTTATTATTATTATATTGTAAAGGACGGTACCAGACAAGCTGGAATGGAGTGGACGTATTGAAAGGCGCATTAGAATTGATTACCCTGCAAGATTTATTTGGCCGTGAAAAACCTGCAACAGTAATTGAACTTGGTAGTTATACCGGAGGCTGTGCATTGTGGTATGCAGACGTATTAAAATGTTTTGGTATAAAGTCTCACGTTTATTCTATCGATATTTCATTCGACTGCTTGCATAAAACGGCAAAAATGAGGGAGGATATCACCTTTATAAAGGCAGACGCCACGAAGGACATGAAGAAGATTTTCCCAGAAAAAATGTTGAAGGTATTTGGCTCCAGTTAAAATTTTTGTACACCATTGGGCGATTTTTTGTTGAAGACAATGAAATTTTGACAGTGATATATAGCGGAGCCCTCCGCATGCAGATTTAATTAATAAATTAACAAAGCATTATTTACAGCTTTTGCAGTTGGCATTAAAACTGTATGTTTATCGTAGGAGCTACCTCATCCCTGGTTCATCTCTGAAGACTGTCATGTCCCAATGGAAAACACGTTGGGTTATTTGGAGCCATTTATGGAGCCTGGCGACTATCTGTTAGTTGAAGACACACACCCATCATTTTGTGCACACACTGGCCAAGGTAATATTTGTCTCCATGATGTTTTGTTGATATTATTACACATGCCAAATAACGTCGAATGTCTAATCAACAGCCACCAACGGGAAACGGTTTTGCCCGTGTATCTAAATAAAACTGTTAATTACAGGAACCTCCGATTAACGGCCTCTACAGTGTGTATCAAAAAAAGTTAGCCTTTTAAATTTAAATCAAGCTATTATATATTTCATCTGACAAGCTATAATTGCTTCGAACAAGTTAGCGACCCGTAAAACAAAAGACTTTCTACTAGTATGGGACATGTTCAAAGCAGTTGAGAACAATCAAATCGCTTATAATTATCGTTAATTTGAAATTTGAAAGGCTATATTTTTTTTTATACATACTGTAGTTAACGGACCTCTAATTGATAGTACCTCCAATTAACGGACCTCTAATTAATGGAGGATCTATTAGTATTATTGCTATTAAATTAATGCATATGGTATTAATTGATTAACAGTTTTAATATGAGGTCCCGCTAATATACAATGATGCCATGGAAATTATCTTCTACAAAATGCTACGAACAATTTAGTCTTTCCAAAGTCCTTCGCTGTAGAGCATTCCCTCTCCGCCACGTAGAAACGTATTCTCCAATTTTTAACCCAGCGAGCGACTTCCGGCAAGCCTATACAAACAATTAGAAGCATTAAAAAAAGATAAACACATCCATTATGCTTTCTATACAGTTATTGGAATTAGCTGACGTAGATGTTTCCATTTTTCAGTGCATATCTGAGTTACAAACTAAGTCTCTAAGAGTTCAAGGCCAATAATTTTTTTGCAGAATATCGACATAATTTACAGTGGCGTAACTTTGTGCTAAAGGACCCCGGCTTTAACTGGAATAGGCCTCTGGTCCTGCCCATTTAAAGTGGCGACGGGGGCGGAAATACGTCAAAATGATGCAAAATTTAGTGCTGAAATACATCAACTTCGCCACTTTGTTCTTGTTCAGGCGGCGCCCCTTAATTGATTTGGGCCCCTTGTGCCAGGCGGATTGGTCGGTCCAATGGAGTTACGCCACTGAATACACCAAACCAAATAACGTATGTTTGATTGTCTTTCAACAGGTCTGTACACTCCTGGCTTCGACGAAGTTGGTCTTGGAAAACTCAATGATTTGACAGAGTTTCTAAAATCTCGCTCGGGAAAATTCGTTGTCGACTCTCATTACACTGATTTCTTTGGGTAATTAAAACTTGAATTGTTTACAATTTAAAGAATATTTCTTTACTGGCAAATTTGTCAAAAATTTAAATTTTCTTCATAATTACTATGTGGTTAGCAGAACTAAATTCTCATTTTTGTGTCTTTCACTCTTAGTCACAATAACTAAATTCCATTTTCCCAGTCCAAAAATAGGGAAACCACCTTTAGGTCCCTTTTACCACCTTAGGACCCTCGTATCAATTTGAATTTGTTGTTCTTTTTTCAGGTATAATGGTTCTTCAAGTATGAATAGTTATCTAAAGCGTGTTTAGGTTCATTGAATTGAATCTATAAGCGTACGAGGCTGATACATCAGGGGGCACTTAAACGTTTGCCGGAATTTTTATTGAAGATTGTAATGAACCTACCAATTATACAAATATTCTTGCTTATTCCTAGCCTTAGCCTGAATTTCCATAGTTTTCTATTTTATTTTATTATTATTTTTATTTTTTGGGGGGCAGTTGCCCCCTGTCTCGTACGCCTATGATTGAATCAATGGTAATAACAATGGTAATTTGAAATTTTTAATCAAATGTGTTAATTAGTGGGTTAGACACGCTGATAATTACAAAATTTGAAGAATAAAGCATCTTTTTACTTATCAGCTGTCATTTTTGTAGTAGTAGTAGAGCATTAGGCTGCATACTAGACTGAATTACATGCATGCATCAACCCCTCATCCTTTCTTAACACAGCGACTATATTCAACCTGAAGTATTTCGTGGTAACACGAAAGTCATGTTTATTTCTGTAAACCACCAAACTACATTATTCTTAAATTCGACAAAAACGCAAAAGAATTGAAAGGAATCACAACTTTTAACTGCAGCGCCGGGGTGAGATAGTTTAAAAAAAGGTCATCAGATTTAGATTAGGATTAGATTAGGGTCAGATTAAAATTAGATTAGGGTTGAACATGTGTCGCGAATTTATTGTATTAATACTGAATCCGTTAATAATTTACTCGTATAGTAAATTCAAAAGTCAAGCGCATGCTCGCTTGCGTGCATGATAGATACCAGTCCACTCTTGTCCGCTCTCGATTTGTATTCGCGCAAGCGCATAACGACGAAAACCGTCTAGATTGAAAAAAGGTCGTCAGATTTAGATTAGAGTTAGGGTTAGATTAAGGACAGATTAAGATTAGATTAGGGTTTGAAGTTAGGATTGGGAACGAAAATCCGAGCGCAATTTGTACCCTCGCCATTTTGAGAGTTTTATAAAGGGAAATATGCTCTGGTAGGCTGATACTGCATCTTCATCAACTGTTTCCGGATGTGAAGTCATTAGACGAATTGCAAATTAAGTTATATTTTTTTGCTCCAAAAACAATTTCTCAAGTAGAATGATCAAAATATTACTCGTATTCGGGATCGGTAGTTCTTTAACTAGTATATTCTAGACGCTATACTTTATTACACACAAGTAATTAGAAACAAAGTATTCTAGGAAAACACGTCAACGTTTCCGAGTTTCACCATGTCGACATAATATAATTAACACGGTAGACAGACATGCAATATACGTATGCCTATACTAACAACGCGATTGTGTGGTGTTACTTTGAAATTTAGTCATTGGATTACTTTGTCTCCGAGTTAGACTTTTTTTAGGCTTTGTTGATACACTGTTACATTTCCAGATTTATAAAACAAAAATCTAAAAGTTGTACTGTACCATTGTGAGATTAAAAAGAAGGAGTGTTTATTTGTTCCAGTTGAGTAGGCTTTGTGTAAATATTGATCATTGTTCAAAACGGGATTAAAACGTAGGTCTTGGTAAGCTTGTCTGAAAAATTAAGAAAAGTAGTTTGGTTTTCTACTGATTAAATTTGTGCTCATTGTTACAGCAAGCCATAAGAGTACCTGTTTCCGATGTTTCAGCGTATGCATTGACTAGTGTAGTTTCGTATGTTTATATTAAAACTTCACTACGTACTAATTTGAAATTCATCGTGGCCATCATTAGTGGTTATATATCACTTTCACAGTGCATCAAAAGTCCTAGATTCAATTTGGTTTCAACTAGAAGACTAAAAGAAATTAAGAAGAATTACCATGGAAAGTTTCATTAACTTTGAAGGTTGCCTGAACGACGATTGGCTCGCTAACCCTGCAGTTTCAAATTTCAACGACGGTATGCTTAATAAAAACATATTTTGTTAAAAGACATATATTTCAAAAGAACAGTATGATATAGTAATAACGGTGTTGCAAGGTGTTACACTAATGTTGCTATAATGTCGCTAATTGCTGGGTAATTGTTACAATTTGTGCCGTTATATATTACGTATTATATATACTGCTAAGATTCTCAGCGATTTACTCTGTAAGTTTGATGACAGCAACGGCTGCTCCATGACGGACTTCCTAGCGAAAGGTCTTTGATTGAAACATCGAAGTATATTTCTTATGATACTTTTCAGATAGTTCATTCATTCACCAGCTTCGTTATTAGGGAGTTTACGATCTACGACGCGGCCTAAATTTCGGCTCAAGAATGAGCGCTAAGCAATTTGATTACTGTAATAAATATTTGACGCCGAGTTTTTCAAATAGCCTTACGAACTGCTAAGTGTGGCTAAAGCGATGCAATATTTGCTGTAATTTCGACTTTAATTAAGTAATACCTCTTGGGCCGCATTAAGCTTCACGTTGCTTGAAAGACGTGATATAGAGACCTTAGATTGACGTTTACGGCAAACGTCAAACCTCTAGCGAAGTTTTTGATTTTACAACTCTATTATAATAGCTTTTACACCAGTTTTGAAATATGTTAAACTTATTAAACTTGTGCTCTTTAGCAATGATTTAAGAAAGCAAATTAACCACTAGTCATGCCATTCACCAAAGCAGTAAATTAAGACTTGGCGTTTGAAGTTGACGTTTGGCGTATAAATTTCATGCTTTAACGACTACAAGCCCTCGTAGCAGTTCAAGCATAAAATTTATACGCCAAACGTCAACTTCAAACGCCAAATCTAAATTTACTGCTTTAGTGAATGGCATGACTAGTGGTTAATTTGCTTTCTTAAATCATTGCTAAAGAGCACAAGTTTAATAAGTTTAACATATTTCAAAACTGGTGTAAAAGCTATTATAATAGAGTTGTAAAATCAAAAACTTCGCTAGCGGTTTGACGTTTGCCGTAAACGTCAATCTTAAGGTCTCTAATCGTTGTGCTGAGTATGACAACGCCGTTGAGAATATACCCCTGGGACCACGAATTATTCACAGTTTTTGTCTTGCATGACAAATTTCTTTGTTTTGAAAGCGCGTCGTCGAGCCGGCCACGTCGCACTCGGGATTGTAAACTCCCTATTATACAGGGTGTATCAAAAAAAGCGCAACCTCTGAATTTCCCAAGAAATCCACATTGTTTTAAAGACAAAAGATTACTGCACACGCGAGTGCATAAAGCAAAATTTATGCATTTATTTAATGCACAACAACAGTAATATGATCTATTGACAATCCGATTTCAATTCCCAGGGGCCTAAAATCTTTTATGCTTAAGAATTGCAAAGTGATTTCTTAGGAAATTCAAAAAACGCAACCTCGGAATTTCCTAAGAAATCACTTTGCAATTCTTAAGCATAAAAGATTTTACGCCCCTGGGAATTGAAATCGAATTGCTAATAGATCATATTACTGTTGTTGTGCATTAAATAAATGCATAAATTTTGCTTTATGCACTCGCGTGTGCAGTAATTTTGACAGTTATGCTACTTTAAATTCCCAGGCGCCTAAAATCTTTTGTCTTTAAAACAATGTCGATTTCTTGGGAAATTCCGAGGTTGCGCTTTTTTTGATACACCCTGTAGTTCATCACCACTGGAACTCAACTGTTTAATTAATAGTTTTACATTGTTCCTTGCTAGGTTACCAAGTAGGATCCAACGTTGATATCACTATCGTTGACTCCGGAGCAGAATCAATATGCCAACATAATAACACTTATACAAAATGGAAGATGCCCACTTCTGGGGGATCACAAAATGGTGGAGAAAATTCGAACAGCTCTCCATGGGTATGACGAGTTTGAGTGAGCAATTTCATTTAAGGCCATGCTGCATGTTATGTACGTATAGGTTGCACTAAGCAATATCGTGGTCAACCTACAGTTTCCATACAAAGTGAGAAAATAGTGTTCATTATATGTACTGTAGTAATCTTGTATAGTTGTATTTGATGGCAAATAGTTAGCTAGAATTGGGAACATAGTTTGCTCTTATAAACGTCAACATCTCTGGGTTGACCACCATTTAGTGCTTTCCAGCAACAATACCAAAACTTACGGTTAGTCTAAATTAATTTTTATATGACAATAAACTATATATTATGAATGGTATATGAAAATTCCAATTACCTACTGGCATGAATACCTGGATCTTGTTTATCTATTCAAATGTATTTATGAAAATTCCGACAAAAATGTGAAACTAAATTTACCAAATCGTGTGACCAGACGCTCTAGTTCTACATCAGGACTCCTTCTTCAGATTACCAAATCAAAACACATGCAGTAACCTTTCAAAACAGTTTTTTATATCAGAGCACGCAGAACGTGGAACACTCTACCAATATCTTTAAGAAACTTAACTTTAGTTATTGTCTTCGTTTAAACGTTGTCTATTTAATTAATATTTTTTATTAACTTCTAATGTTTATAACCCAGAAATGAATTGCCGCACACATACAAGACTGTTTGTGTCAAATGTCACAAAGCCCATCCTTTGGATTCACTCAGTGACACTTTGTGTTGGCTAGTGCCCTTTCTTTATATTATGTGATGTCTTTTGTTGTTTTTTATTGTGATGCACTATTTAGTGTTTAACTCTTTGTATACAATATTTCTATGTATTTTACAACTCACGCGGGGAACCAGTTATTGGAGCTTCGGCTCTGTGGGTGCGCCCTTCTTGTTTTGGGGTAAATAAAATAAAATAAATAAATAAAATAAATGAATAAAATCTCGTCCATGCAATATTCGTTCGTCTTTTCATAGGTAGTGACGTTGAAAGTTTTACGTCCAGTGCAAGTTACTAGTTTGTCTGCATGGGTTCAATTCGTCGAACAAGATGAATTGATTCAAGTACCCGTACAAAATGGACGTTCTGTGCAAAGTAAGAACATTGAAAAACTTTACTTCTCATGGTGTTTCCGAAACTGTTCTCTCTAGAGGTCCAGTTAGGGTCTTCTTTATTTAACTCTGTTAGTTAGCCCCCTGTCTAAAATATCAGCAGAAATGGAAGAATAATTTAATTATTAAGAAGAGGGTTTTAATATTCCCATGACCAAACCTTTGTATAAACGGATGAAATTTATCGAAGATTTGTGTCTGAAATTGATTACCTGGTTTTCATATAAAGTAATGCCCTATCACACTTTTGTGTCTACTGTGATCAAACATTTTTATTATAGATGTTGATGGAAATCTGGTTGAAGACAGTTTCACCATTTCTCTCCAAGAAGTCCTGGACATGTGTACAGAGGAAACTGGGGGCGCTTTAATAAAGTTAATTCTTTATTTTGGCCAGCTTGAGATAGCCAGTTATGATGTATGTCAGTTTGAAATCAAAGGTAAAATGAGAATAGTTAATTAACTTGGAAAATATTTAGCGATGCATGTTATTATTTAGATCTCCAAGAATTTGGCCATAAAGTAATGTAAAATGTTGTCGACTGGTTATCTCTGCTATCCATAGTACCATCTAGCACGTGCATTAACATTGGCGTTTGGAGTGAAGCCCTTCGTCCAAGGGCGTAAATCCTGAGGGAATGACTCATCCCACTCTTTGGGGGTGGGGGTGGGGGATAAATATATGATTATCATCCCCTACTTAAGTTTAGCTACAGTCAGACTTTTCTAATATGAACACCGAAAAGACATGCAGAGCATACTAACTTATAGAAAAGAGGCATTCGTATTATTTCCGTACGGAGAGTTTCACCATGCATACGTTAAGAACTATTTAAAACACCAGCAGGAGTGCTTTATTAGATATAAATGCCATCTCGTGCTCGAGTGTTTTATATCGAACAAAGCACAGATCGTCACTACGAGTGTTTTAAATGGCTTAAAAACGACCCATTTGATGAGTTCATTGGCGAAGAAATTTTAAAATTAAACGTTGTCTTAGCCGAGAAAATGAAAGCTAAAGTTTATGTAAATTAACATGATTCATAGTTTATCACATATGAAACCACCTACACGATAGTAATTTCCTTTCTCGTTTCCTCATGAATTTAATATTATATATGAGTTTTTAAATCAAATTAAATCGTCAGCCGTCAGGGACACTTGAGTAAAGTCAAATCGTCACTCAGCTTTCTTGTCCTAGAGTTGCAAGTTGACGTTCAAGTTAGTGAAGAGGAATACAAAGATGGCGGTACAATTGGGATTCGACAGAAGAAGCAGATGGTCACTGGGCCACATAAAGGACGTTGTCAGAGGCTGGAGAGAAAGGTATGAAAGTATATTTATATCTGGGTACTGTTGAAAGTTTTGCACTTTTCATCTTTTTCGTGTATGGCTGCATCTAGAACGCATAACACAGACAGCTTCCTAGTGCCGCCGTGGTTCTTAAAGTTTTAAATTTTTCAGGTAGTTCAGACACAAACCACTTCTGTTTATTGTAGAATACCATACCTACTTACTCTGGACGCCAAAGTTCGAGGCACCGTATATATTAATGCATTTGTATTTATGTTTGAATGACTGTCCACTTGTATAGTAAGAAATACCAGTCTTACTATAACCAAGGTATACATTCTGTGACTGAACATCCAGTCTTTCCTCAGAATATTATGGATGAGGCATAAAAGAAACAAGAAAACTATAGCTGGATAGGGATTCAACAACCTCAAAAATACAAGTAAAACGTGGACGTTTCGATCAAAGGCCCTTCAGTGTTAATGGCACTGTCTATATTGCAGGCACAGACCATTCAAGATAACAGAAACAGATATCTATAAAGGCCCATTTCCACTCAGGAAAATTTTCCGCAGAAAGAAAATTTTGTGAAATGTGATTGGCCGACACAAATTTTCCGTTGGAAAAAAATTTTGAAGTTGAAAATTTTCAACTTTTAACAATGATATTTTCGGAAAATTTTCTGTCCGTGGAAATTTTTCTTGAGTGGAAATGGGCCTTTAGATATTTTTATGATTTTATTTCGTAATGAATTTACTACTCAAATCTATATTTGCCCATGTGTTTTTTCTTTCTTTCTAGGACCTCAATTTTTTCCTGAAAACAAACATCGCTTTGGATCAAGTGACATTACGTGGATACGTGAGACGTGTTAATGATATGGCAATGTTTGGAAAACAGAAAGCTGTTACTGGCGAAACGGAAATACCTTTAACTTTTCTGCGAAGTTCCATGCAAGGCGCCAATGGTAAGAAATCTAGATCTCAAACAGTGGAATTTGCAAAACAATGAAAGGACAATGGACTTGGTGACACTATGTTATAACTGTTATGGAAAAGCTAATTGAAAATGAAGAATAATAGAATAATTTCAGCTTTTCTTTTAAACTATAGATCCAGGAGCCTTAATAAATTATGTTCACAGCTTCACAGCTGATCTTGACCCTGACAAATTTTACTTGGATCATCCTGGAAAGGAACTTTATACGTCGGACAAAACTACACCAGAAAATAATATCTTTATTTACGGACTAAGAATTTCTGTCGGCCGCCAATCCTTTGTGAAAGAGGTTTATCAATTCAAAACAAAGAGTAAAGGTAAAACGTTTGCCAATTTCAGATAGTATGACCGTTTACAGCCGTACTTACTGTAGTCTCTATATGCATGTACCAAGTAAATTCCATATGATTATTCTTTGACTCCGTGTTATCTTCAGAGCTGTTAACTGTGTAGAAGCAATCCAATTAAACCTAATATGTCTTTTTGTTTTATTTGCAAATGAATACAAGACAACAGATACTGCACAGGTTTACTTTGACAACAGCCGTCTACTACACGATATTTATACACGATGTTGTTGCACGAAACCTAGTCGGTGAACGTTCATTAGCTATAGAAATATACTTGAACCTGTAGGCCTACCTTCGCCGGCTAATTTCCAGGATAGTTTAAGTTGTGGAGGGTTTTACGACCACAATTAAAAAGTTCCAAATAAATATTTTGGCAAGCACAGGTCAGTGATGAACTTTCTGTGATTGATTTGCTATTGTGTGCATAAAGGATACGCAAACAACAGCAATATCCAAAAGTTGGTTGAAGGTCCAACCGCCTAATTTGGACTACCAAACCGACAGAGCATTGGACTGGTGCACTGCCAAATCAAAGGTCGCGAGTTCAAAATTTTCAGCTTGCCCAATGTGGACACACTCAGAGAGCATGATCACAAATATATTTGTGAATGACTACATAATATAACTTTAGAAAAATTTGGACATATATATTGATAATCGAATCGCGATTTGGTATTTTACTTTCTACACAGAATACTCGCTCAGCAAGCACCAATATATCTCGGCGATGGAGCTGGAGGCAACTCGAGCACACATCAGGGATCTCAAGATTCAAAAGTTGACAACAGTCAGAGGTGATATAGCGTACTCTTGGGAACTCATGAATGCTGATACTGCAGGAAGATACGAGGAAGGAGACGTGGTTGGAATATTTCCCAACAAAAAAAAACCTAATGACAAGACGTATTTAGATCTTCTTACACCAAACAACTACAAGGAAGCAATCATAGCTGGTGTCATCACAAGATCGTATTATATTGCTGCAAATTCACAAGAAGGTATTGGCCGATTCAAAAAGTAGCTGCCACAATTTTGCATTATTTTCTATTTTATGCATTATCAAGCTAATAAACAATTTTTTGTTAAAGTGTAAAAGATTGAACACAATCCATGCAAGTGAAATTATAGCGCTTTGAAATATGAAAATAATACCAAAATGTTTTCGAAAGTTGGTTTGCCTCCCCCCTCTTCTCCCCCGTCAACATTGGTAGGCCAACTTTCATCAATATCGAGCAAATTTTTGTCCGTCCTCCCCTAATTTTTTCCCTCCCGTACACCTATGCTAACAAATGAAGAAATTGAGTAAAATTTTTATTAGAACAATATTGATATATCATCGTATGCTAGCACTTTACAGTATAAAAGAGTATTAACCACTATCATGACAATTTTGCAGATGACCACGAACATCCCTGTGAAAAGATCTGTATGGTGGGTAAAATCTCGATAAAAGTCTCTGGTCCAGTGAAACATGGTGACTTCATTTACGCATCGAATAAACTACCTGGTGTCGGAGTCACCGAGGAACAATTGATTGCAGATAAAGGTAGTTTAATTTGATTCCAGTAACAGTATATAAAGTTCATTCAAATTGGTCAGGAAAGAATTTTCATGATACGATTTATCCCGGCTAGCCCGATTCATATGAATAGCCCCTTATCCTTGACTATTTATCTTTACAACAATTATGATATTACTTTCCTAGCCCGAGCAAGTTTTCTATGACAAGCTAGTTGTTCATGTGACAAGTTTTATTTGCGCTCGTCTATATATAGGCTACGCGCAACTTTGACAATTTTTTCTATTCTCAAGTGCACTGGTCATAGAAAAAATTGTCAAAGTAATCTGAGGATTTGATGTAATTGGCAAGCGGACTATTATAATTTTTCTGTCGCCTCTTTCTGACACGTTCACACCAGTAAATAAAACTTGTCATATGAAAACTTGTCATATAAAATTTGTTGCATATACACACGTTCACTTGGCAAATAAAACTTGTCATAGAAAACTTGCTCGTCTGTAACCGGCTTAACTTTGTCCTTTCATGTCAACTTTGTCCTTTCATGTCAACTGCGTGGGAGGAAACCGTAGTGTCCGAAGAAAGCCCACAACTTTCTGCAGAGCGTTGACTCTTTTCACATGAGTCCATGAGTTCTGCTATTTTATGGCGATTCGACACTCCGTGATCACTCAGTGCTTAACGAAACCAACTTTTAAAATGAATTTTGACGTATTTTTCTCTCTCCAAGGTGATCGGCGTGAAAAACGTCTGTTAGGATACTCACTCGAAACCAGCGCAAAATCTGACGTGAAACTTGTCAGTTGTGTCGTGTCAATCTTGCTGTCAATCAACAACGATCAAGTCGAAAGACTGCTTTCAAAAATGGAAGAAAGTATGTCTGAAAACTTCGAGAGAAAAATTGACGAGTTTCGAGATGATGTAGATATCAAAATGGATGGAATGAGTCAGATAGTGAATACGACACAAAATTACGTGGCAACGAAGAGAAGAGGTAGCTAGCTAGTGTGGATATGTTTAAAATGTTTTCTCGTCATGGCATGCAACGGTTATACTGAGGCCACGGATATCCACCGGATAGCGCTTCTTTCACGCTTTATTTTAAAATCATGCACTATGTATACTAGCCTGCATGAGCCCGATGCTGAGCATGACATGGTGGTCTCAAGTGGTCAAGATTTTCCCGCACTTTTTATTTTGCTTTATTTCGACTTATTTAAGGCAGAATAAGGCTCAAATTGTACGTTTCAATAGCTCTTAATTATGCTTGAGTGGCCTAATATTTTTCTTGGGCCCTTAACCTCGTAATCTCGAAATTCTCACCATGAGCTCCACCTTTGAATTTACTATATGAGTAAATTCGCTGCACCTAACCCTACCCCCAACCCTACCCCTAACCCCTAACCCTAACCCCTAACCCTAACCCCTAACCCTAATCCAACTTTTTAAAAAATTTTTTTGAAAATCTAACTTTTTTTTACTTTTGTTAACTTTTTTGATATTGAGTACACGCCAGCATGTTCAGTTAAGATGAGCTGGCTCATCTGAGCTTCGATTTGTGGCCGCGATTTTGTGCAGACCAATTTTGATAAGCTGGAAAATTATTATCCGGTGGATACCAGGGCAGTCTTTGGGTGCTACTGTTTTATCCTGTAGTAGTTTCAGCTAGTTCTTCCTGGATATCTAGGAAGAACTGTTTAGAACAAATAGTGCTATTTCGTATAAATTATTTTAGTTAAATCTTCAAAATATAATGACTAGCATATAATGAATTTTCCATCTCCTTTTGTTCAATTTAGAAATATCGCGTCGAACCTGTCGTGTTTGCTCGGCGATAATATCCTTCTTCGTCCTTGGTATCTTATCATCTTATTTCTTTCTTTCGCCAACGTCACCTTACATCAAGTGGGAATGTCGCCGGGATTCTTTACCCGGTACTATCACTTTCAGAATTGACAACAAAGATGACGATGTAAATGAATAATTATCAACACGGGGGTTTAATTATTATTGAATAAAAAGTATCGTGAATTTTTAAACCAATACCACACATCACACATGATGGTAATTTTGGAATGTTTGTGAGAAAATGATCGATGCTAAATGACTCCATTACATGTATATTTACCACTGATTTAGATGAATTCAGTCAACAATTTATACCGGGATGTATACACTCCCATATGTATATATCGAAAACTTTTGCACACTTCAACCACACCCCTCCCCTCGTTGACAGTAATCTTGGATTTTTTGGGCAAATTCACCAACGTCGGGCAAATTTTTGGCCCTCTCCCCTAATTTTTTCTGTTTTCGCGCTATCTGTTGCACGAGGAGGCCTAATTTAAATCTATGATTCACTGTCAACCAGCAGTTGATTCAATATACAGCATAGGCATTTTGATTTTAGCCATTTGTCTACCTTTTTATAGAATTTTGTTCGAATGGAGGGTATTCTATTTGATGTGGTGGATCTGAGACATAAAATTGGTGTGGATTTTGCTCTGAAGAAGAATTTTACTGGTAAAATTTGAATATCTCTATTCACGAGTATATATAAAATATCCTCTTTAGCGCGGCAGTCCTATGTGAAGGTAGCATACTCTTCTATAAACCGTTGAGTATTTTCTTGGAACTCCCTAAAACAGTAAGAGAAAATTTTGACAAAGCGGCCTTTCGACTTTCGTGGATTTTCGCGGTCTGCAGATTATAGTGGTGGTACCATATGGGTGGTACAGACGAGCAAGTTTTCCTTGACAGGTTTTCTTGACATTTTTACTTGCAGGGACGTAGCGACTGGGGGGTGTGGGGGTGTAACCTTCGCCCCCCCCCCAACTGTGAAAGATAAAAAAATCAGATAAAATTCTAGTTAAAATTTTGACATTTTCATGTAAAATTTGACATTTTCATGAAAAATAAAGTCGTTATTATTGTGAAATGGTAACCATTTGTGAAATGGTAACCAATACAGAGTTTTTTGGCGGAGGCCCCCAGATTCCCTTGTTTTCAGAAACTTAATATCACAGTGGAAATCATTGACAAAAAGCTTTATTATCATTATTACACTTCAGGTAAATTTTTAACATCGAAGTTCAAATTTCAGGTAAAATCCTCCGACACCCCCCGCCAGCTTGAGATGCTTCGCTACGTCCTTGTTTACTTGTTCGTATTGTATTGCAGACACTAGTAATATTTTCCGATAGACAAGGAGCCTTGTCCACTAGATAGTCTAAATTATGACTTGTCAGCTTTTGGGCAAGGAAAATTGTTCGCAATATTTTGCTGTGTATAAAGTCTGTTTTACACTTTAATCGTATTAGTGCAACGTGTCGTATACTTTTCCCAAGAAAGAAATACAGCTTGTTTGGTCATGATGTTTAGAATGGAAAACAATGTTTCTTGTCTTTCCAGGTTCATATTATTTAAATCTTAGAAAATGCAAGCGTGATAATCTTCGTAAAGTGCTTGGTTGGTTCAGCAATCCTCCAGTCTATTCTCGTGCCCAGGTATTCGCCGCGTCTTGTGATTGTGGGGAGGTTTTCCATTATCATCAGTATCTCTCATGGGTGCAGTATTCTCCTGTATTCAACTGTCACTGCGACGGAGACAAAGCTTCTCAATGCAATCAAACTACAGCTGAAGAACGTAAATGTTTTGAAATTTCTGACTGACATTTGTTTTCATTCCTTAGTTGAATATTTGGTCAGGGGCCTAAAACTGTATATAAGCCTGTCACGCGGTCAATATGACACACGAGGCTTCATAACACGACACTGGAAAAGTTTGGAACAGTATGAAATCAGTGAGCTCCATATATATAGGCGGCGCGAAGATATGACGCTTATCTTCGATTATATATATAGTAGAGAGTGAGATACTGAAAAATACACAGTGAGATATTTTTCATATCTTCACTAGTGAAGATATCGATCACGTGACTCAGTTTTTCCAATTTGCTTTTGAGCGTGAAATTTCACAATTTTTGCTTGAGACTATATCCGGTTATGGATTTGGCGGCCAGAGCCCCTCGTCGCGCTCGGTCGAACGCGCGTAAGAAGGGCTCTGGGTACGAGAATGAGCGCTCGTGTGTTATATGTGTTGCAGATTACCACAAAATGACACAAACACAGTCCCGCCTTAGCAATCTGACGTCTGTGTTGACAAGAACGTCGTTTGCTTAAGCTCGCTATTTTATGATAAATGCACTGAAACCGTTACAATAATTAATTATTAATGTTAATTGCAGCTATTATCTAAAGCTATTAATGTTTTAAGCCGTCGTAGAATTAATGATGTATAAAACATACTCAATATGTTGACCTGCTACAATTTTAATAACGTTCTAAGTGTTCTAGAAGGCAAACAACATTTAGGACAGAGTGACGCACAAACGTACTGTTGGTTTATAGAGTCGTCGAAACGTTGCGAGAAAGAAATTCTCGAAAGGTGGCGTCAAATTTTAATAATTGAAGATCTTGTCATATTAATTTCTGTTTCACTTTCAGGACGTGGGTACCCTGGATTCCAGAGCCTTCGACAGTAAATAATAAATTGAAATGTCGCGAAG